GTCCCTTCTTGCCTCCAAAAGAAACTTGATTAATGGCAAATTCTCATATCACCTAATCCTTATTCGTCACTCCTTTCTTTTGTGCACTCTTTCTCTAGTCCCCATGCATCTCTCATCCAACAAAAACACAAACAATATAAACAGACCTTATTCTAAACTGACGGATATTTCTTTTACCTGGGGTTGTCAATAGTTGTCTTTCTTTCTTCTACACTTCCGAGTTCCGATGGAGATTTTCCATTGCTTGTACTTCGGAGTTCTCTTGGCCTTCACATTCGCAGTAGCAGTTGTCTTGGCTACTGATCCTTACTCAGAGGCTCTCTTGAGCTTAAAATCTGAGCTCGTTGATGATGATAACAGTTTGGATGATTGGTTAGTGCCTCCTGGAGGGAACACAGAAGAGAAAGTTCAAGCATGTTCTTGGTCTGGTGTCAAATGCAACCAGAATTCCACAGTCGTTATTGCTTTAGACCTGTCTATGAAGAATCTCCGTGGTGAATTATCAGGGAAGCAGTTTAGTGTCTTCACTGAGCTTGTTGATCTCAACTTCAGCTACAACTCATTCGCAGGGAAGCTTCCTTTGGGAATCTTTAACATAACTAATCTAAAAATCTTCGATATCAGCAGAAACAATTTTTCTGCCCAGTTTCCAGATGGAATCTCCGATCTTCGAAACCTGGTCGTGCTTGATGCCTTTAGCAACAGCTTTTCCGGGCCATTGCCAGTTGAAGTTTCCCAGCTTGAATTTCTCGAAGTTCTCAATCTGGCTGGGAGTTACTTTGATGGACCAATCCCATCAGAGTATGGTTCTTTCAAGAGCCTCGAGTTTATTCACCTGGCAGGTAACTTCCTCAGTGGTAGCATACCACCAGAACTAGGCCAACTCAAGACTGTGACCCATATGGAGATTGGCTACAATTCATATGAAGGAAGTATCCCGTGGCAATTGGGTAACATGAGTGAGCTTCAGTATCTTGATATAGCTGGTGCAAATCTATCTGGCCCAATACCAAAGCAACTCTCCAATCTCACCAAGCTAGAATCCCTATTTCTCTTCAGAAACCGGCTCACTGGATGGGTCCCCTGGGAGTTTAGCCAAATTGTGCCTCTTGCAAGCTTAGATCTTTCTGATAATCAACTTTCTGGGCCTATCCCTGAGAGCTTTGCAGCGTTGAAGAATCTCAAGCTGCTAAGCCTTATGTACAATGAGATGAATGGCACTGTTCCACCAGGTATTGGTCGGCTTCCTTCGCTGGAAACTCTCCTTATATGGAATAATTTCTTCTCTGGGTCACTTCCACAGGACCTGGGCAGGAACTTAAAGCTAAAATGGGTGGATGTTTCCACCAACAATTTCATCGGCAGCATTCCACCGGATATTTGTGCAGGTGGGCTAGCGAAACTGATCCTTTTCTCAAATAAATTTACGGGCAGTCTTTCACCATCTATCTCCAATTGTTCTTCACTTGTGCGTCTACGAATTGAAGACAATTCCTTCTCCGGTGAGATCCCTCTTAAATTCAGCCATCTTCCTGATATCGCATATGTGGACCTCTCCAGAAACAAGTTTACAGGTGGCATTCCCATAGATATCTCTCAAGCTTCCAACCTGCAGTACTTCAATATCTCTAATAATCCAGGGCTTGGAGGTACGATCCCAGCAAAAACATGGTCTTTGCCACTTCTCCAAAATTTCTCAGCGTCAGCATGTAATATCTCAGGCAATCTTCCTCCATTCCACTCCTGCAAATCTGTTTCTGTTATTGAGTTAGACATGAACAATCTAGCAGGAAGCGTCCCTGAAAGTGTTTCCGATTGCCAAGCTCTTGGGAAGATGGATTTGGCTGATAATAAGTTTACTGGTCATATACCTGAAGACCTTGCAAGCGTTCCAGCTTTAAGTGTCCTGGACTTGTCACGTAATAACTTCAGTGGTTCGATACCAGCAAAGTTTGGTGCTTCTTCAAGCTTAGTGCTTCTAAACGTGTCTTTTAATGATATCTCTGGTTCCATTCCATCCAACAACGTGTTTAGATTGATGGGTAGCAGTGCTTATGAGGGAAATCCAAAGCTATGCGGAGCACCCCTGAAACCATGTTCTGCTTCCATCGCAATATTCGGCAGCAAAGGCACAAGAAAGCTTACATGGGTTCTGCTACTCTGTGCAGTGCTGGTTGTACTTTGTGTGGCATCAGTCTTGGGGATATTCTATATCCGGAGAGGAAGCAAGGGTCAATGGAAAATGGTCTCCTTCAGTGGACTCCCCCGATTCACAGCAAATGATATTTTGAGAAGCTTCAGTTCCACAGAATCACTGGAAGCCGTACAACCAGAATCTAGTTCAGTTTGCAAAGTAGTGCTGCCCACAGGAATAACAGTTTCAGTGAAAAAGATTGAGCTGGAAGCAAAGAGAATGAAGAAAGCCACAGAATTTATGACACAATTGGGTGTTGCAAGACACAAGAACTTGATTAGATTGCTAGGATATTGCTACAACAAGCAACAAGCATATGTCATGTATGATTATCTGCCTAATGGTAACTTGGCTGAAAAAATCAGTTTGAAGAAAGATTGGGTGGCCAAGTACAAACTCGTCATTGGCATTGCTAGGGGACTGCGCTTCCTTCACCACGACTGTTATCCAGCAATTCCTCATGGAGATTTGAAGTTGAGTAACATATTGTTTGACGAAAATATGGAGCCTCATTTGGCTGAATTTGGGTTCAAGTACCTGATAGAAATGACTAAAGGCTCATCTCCTGCAACGATTTCCATGAGAGAAACAGGTAACTCGTCACTACAAATTTTCTGTAGCACATGTTGTTCATGTTATAAAATTTTCTATGGAACCTGTTTTCTAAATCACTTCCACACATCAAACGGACGAATAATACCTTTACTCAAAAAGTCTAAGATAGTCAAAAGTTGTAAGAGTGTCTGGAAATCTGTAGTATACTTTATATAAGTTATAGAAGAATCATAAAAGGTCCAAGTCCAACCAAGAAAGTTGTTGCCTGTCAAGTACACACAGAGCACTAGTCAATATTCCTTCAAGCAAGACTAAAAACAGAGTATTACAGTGAGTAATATTCCACATAAACTAACATTAGCAAACTAATGTTGCTGTCTTGAAATAGGGAAAAGAATATTTGTACAAATAGAAATCTGTTGACTCATGCTACCGTCTTCTTTGGAAGCATAAGTAGCGATTAATGTTTGTTCAACTTTTTTATAGGCAAACTCAACAGTGCCATAAAAGAGGAGCTCTACATGGACATATACAGATTTGGGGAGATCGTTCTGGAACTTCTGACCAATGGCAGATTGGCAAATGCAGGGGGAGCATACAGAGCACGCCTAAGGAGGTGCTTTTAAGAGAAATATGTAGCTCGAATCAAACTGGTTCTGCTGATGCAATGCAAGAGGAGATAAAACTGGTTCTTGAAGTTGCTTTGCTCTGCACAAGAAGCAGGCCATCTGATCGGCCATCCATGGAAGATTCACTGAAACTTTTATCAGGAGTAAATTCGCAAACAAAATAACAGAAATATTGAAACCAAAGGACTACGCTGTGTATTTCACAATGCCATATATTAGTGGGCATGATAGATATGACTTGTAGCGAATTCATATGTCTGTTTGTATTTGATTATCATACCTAGCTTGTTCTTGGAAATAATTTGCTGTAATATAGTAGCCTATAAGTTTGTGAGTTTGTGTATTCTTAAAGAATCTTGCGGATGTTAACTACATGGTTTTTTTTTTTTTTCCCAAGTTTGAAGTAAGAATATTGGCATTATAAAGTTCAATTTTCTATTCTTACAGTCAATAATACCATACGATACATCAACCTGCATTTCTTATCTCTAATTTTTAAACAGCAAGGGAATGGTTCTCCTAAAAAAAGGTAAACTGCTGCTTTAGTGAAAATAAGAGGGAGTAAAGGAGCAGGCCAAGGGAAGTTTTCAACAAAAGTGAGCTAACAGTGCAAGATGAATTGAAACCTTTCTCAATGTGCAAGATTATGGTTACAGATGCATATGACTACATTGAAGGAGAATGACAGGCTTAACAAGGGGTCAACTGACCATTAAAGTTTGGCCTTTTACATGAATTGATAGATAGCTTTTTCTTTTTCGCTTGTCATAACTAAGAACAGTTTTCCCTTCTTGCTTAAGCAAGAAATAGGTAGAAAGGGACACCATTTTCTTGTAACTGAAGCCTTTTGATATGTTCACATATATAGAAACCAAAAGTTTAGCCCTACATTTATTCATTTCTTGCTATAATATGTAGTACAAATTTTCTTTGAAAAAATAATAAATAATGAAACAAAATCAGCGATACAAAGTTTCATTCAGACAAATTCACATACAGGTAGAACCCAAACCTCTCAACTTGGCATCAACAGCATCCACAACACCTTGAAAACTATCAAACCTTCCACTCACAACATCAACATTTACTCCCAACCTCTCAGCCCCTGCCGCTGTCACCGGCCCATGTGCTGCCACCACCAAATTAGGCCACCTCCTCCGCACCATCTCCCACTCCCACCCAAACTCTCTCAAACTCTTCAATAATCCCTCCACTTCTCCACTACTGGTAAACACCATAGCATCCAACAATCCCTCCTCACTCCTCTCCACAATTCCCTTCCCACAGATAGGCCCCAACCACCGTGTCTCATACGCATCAACTCTAATTGGGACCCATTCCGCAGCCTCCAGTTCCCGGAGAAAATCCGGAACAACTGGAGGCTCTTCTAGTCCCACAACTCGTGGGACTGGACACAACAACTTCCGGCCGCGTCCAGTTCCAAGCAACTGGACGAGCCAGCTAGGTGTTGCTATTGTAGGAGCTATAACTTTTACTCTACTAATATCACCACCACAAAAATTAAGCAAGAAAGTTGTGTCTATCAGTTCCACATCTTTGCCAAGTGCCGCTATGATAAATGTGTCTTCGTGAGGTGGTAAGAGAGGGGTTGGGAGCGAGAGAGAAGCGGTTGAGAATGCGGTGATGGCGGTGCGGGAAGGAAAAGCAATGGCGGAGAGGAGAGAGATGGAGTGAGGGGAGAGATGCAGGGCAAGAGAGGAGAGAGTTTGTGGGGTGGGTTCGGTGATTATGGTGGGGCACCATAAGGGAGTGAAGGATTTGAGAGTTAATAGGTGGGAAAGCCTGGTAGCGTAGTTTGGCGGAGTGGTGAAGGCTACGGTGGGTTTAGCGGCGGTGGTAGTGGTGGGGATCATGAGGTTGTGCATGGTGGTTGGCGTTAACGTGGTCATCATTACCGAATCATTGGCCGAAAGTGCTTGTTTTGGACTTGTGGGAAGGTGGTCATCTGCTCGAGTTATTATTTAGTACATCCGGAAATACATTTTTCTTGTTTTAGATCAAGATCAAATTTATAAATAATTTTCAAAATAAATTTTATATTTTTATAAAAGACAGAATACAATTAAAAAAAAAAAAACACTAAAACATGCAGGGTTTTCGTGTTTATAGACTGTTCAACTACACTGAATTTACTGGGGATGAAGCACTTCTCCATGCATTTCAACCGTTGTCTCTGATTTGTTTCATTTGCTTCTTTGGTTTTCCATTACTGTTACAAAAGCTCATTTTTCTTTTTCTTTTTCTCTTGCACCTGTTTTTTTTTTTTTTTTCATTATCAATTTAACACCCTTATATTGTTTGCTTAATTGTAATTGTGCCACTTAGTGGGGTGTCAAGTTACGTTTTTATCCCTTTTTTTTTCTTTTTCCTTCCCTTTTTTTATTCTTTTTTTGTAATTTGCTCCTTAGTGGGACAGAGTAAGTGATGCTCAACAATGATGCTTTTGCTGCACGCTTTTTTTTCCTTGGAATACTAAGTTTAGTTATTTTTACTTTTTGTTTTGATCCTTACATTATAAGTATGTTATTATTTGGTTTCTTAAATTTCAAAATATTTAAAATGATCCTAAACTATATATTATTAATTCGAAATATATCCAACAAAAATTAAATATTTTTAATAGAGAGTGGATATTGTAATAATTAACATGATTTAAAGTTACGTTAATTAATGATATAACTTTATAGGGTCACCGGAAAGAGAATCTAATTTTTTTATTAATTCAAAATATTTAAAATGATCCAAAACTATATATGATTAATTTGAAATACAATTAACAAAAAATTAAATATTTTTAATAAAGAATGGATATTGTAATAGTTAACATGATTTAAAGTTCTGTTAATTAATGAGATAACTTTATATGGTTACCTAAAACAAAATCTAAAAAAAAAAAAATTAATTAATTTTAAGACATATTTGAGGAGTATTCATTATTGTATTATAAAAATTTAGTTTAAAATATTCATGTTTCATGTTTTATATTTTTTAATTTATGTATTTTGTTTTGATTTAATTTAATTTTGTTTATTGAATTATTTAAAATTATTTCATAAATTTTATTTTAATATTTTATCGGATTGAATATTTAAATAAAATTATTAAGGTATTGCAAAGAAACTATTAAAATTTTCAAATTGACAATAATGATATCTAGTAGTGTACGAGAAAAACCTTAATAAGTTTTGATATATATAAATATAAAAAAAATTAAAAGCAAAGGATCATTATTAAAAAAGAAAGAAAACTAAAAAATGTGAATTTATTACTGTTACTGATTAACTAAAACAATTAGAATGAAAACATAATCATTGTCCACACACTGTTTCCTGTTTCTTACTTCAGTGTTCATTTATTGTAGATTGTCTCCAAAATCATTGTTTATTCACTATGAACTTGTACTCCTTATTAAAAAATGTGCACTTTTATTTCTACATGACAAGAGGAGAGAGAGATGACAAAATCCATTTCGATCATCTCGACAATCAATTTTACTACACCTTTGTTCGCCTTAAATATATCATGTATTTTATATTATATTATTCTTATTAATTAAAATTTATTCTTTGATTTTTTTTTAGTGAAAATCTTCATTCAATTAATAATTTTTATATGTAAAATTTTATTTACTGATAAATATGATTAATTTTTCTCTAAATTTGAATTTTAAAATAAAATTTAAAACATGATTGTTTTTTATTTTTTTAAAAAATAAATTGATATAATACATGTTATGAATTCTTAGAATATTTAAATTAGAATTGCATTTATATAAATTGTATTTTAGATAATTTGTTTCAGTTCATCGGGTATTATCAAGACGTATAAAAAGTTTTTTTGAATCATCGGTTTTATTAAAAATTAATTATACATATTTACACATAACATCAATTATTTGCTATGAATATTTTTGTTAACATTATAGAACTAATTTCTTTGAACTAAAATAATTTTTTAAAACAGCCAACCAATTATTCAAATACAATATTTTATGCTAACATTATTGATTATTTTGTAAATAAATATACATAGATCAAGTGCATATACTTTCAAAAATAATATTTTCACCATCATTAAATAAGAATAATTTTTTATTAATTATGTTTAATCCTCTCATCAGTATTAAATAAGAAAAAAAATTATATTATTTGTTTTTACAAGTCTATACATCAATTGTAACTTTATTTTTTGGATATATTTTTAAACTATATTATTTTTTAATTCTTAACTGATATTTTAGTTTAAATTATTATAAATTTTTATTTAAAAACTAACGCATAAAGAATAATAAATATTTTTTTAAGTAGAAAAAATATGAAAAATATATTAAAAAACTAACTAAAAAAATTAATAAAAAAAATTATAAAATTTTGAAAAGATTCTATTGTACCTGACCCACGGCGTAACACAGGTAAACGACCAATTCTAACTGAATAAGCTCGTACATAATTCTAAAAGCCTAGTAATTTGGGCCTCACATTTCGCACCTGTCCATGTTTTCTTTTCTAATTATTGCATTCCAAAACTTGGTTTGATTGCGAAAGCAAGAAGAATTCGGATGAATTAGGATATTAGAGACAGAAAAGCTGAGAATAGAAAGAAAAAACGGAAACAATCCTAATAGAAAGAGATGGATAAACAAAAATGGACCGATATTTAACTAACTAACTGAAAAAAAAAAAATAATTAACATACTCGATTGAGAAAATATTTAAAATTAAAATATTTATTATGTAGTTTTATCATTTCGGAGGAGAAAAGAAAAGAAAAAAAATAATATGGTTACTTAGTCTTTTTTTTGTTACTATCACATCATTATTAAATAAAAAATTAGATAAAAAAACTTGATTAATATTTTTAAAAAAATTGATATACTAAAATTAAAAAATAAAAATTGATGTATCCGTAGTATTGAGAAAAGATTCAAAGTTGTAGTTATTATATAGTTTCGTTTGGAAACGGAAGAAACTAGCTAGAACCGAGACCCAAAAATAACAAATTGGACTTCTACAGTTGGGGCTGGTTGATATTGGGCTGTACCGCTGTCATGGATGACTCAACCATGGCTGGAGGGCTTCGAATGCAATACTGCAGACCAATGTGAATGTTTAGAGCTTTGGGCAACGACATTGGCTATCTCTTCTCTACACGGCAGCAAGAGAAGCAATCAGGCTGGCTTCAGTTAAGAGTTATTAAATCAGAATCCTAGCCACCGACTCTACCACCATTGCCAACAGTTTCAATATATCTTATAAATATGTTTGATTTTAAATCACATTTTTTTTTCTTTTTACAGCAATTCTAACAAAAGTCTTTAATTAAAAAAATAAAAATAATTTGGTTTTAAAATTGATACAAAAAATATTTTTAGTATAAAATCGATAATATTCTAATAATTTGATGGTATATTTAATGTTTGCTAAAAAATTTTTTTTGAGATTCAAGTTTTCATAAAGTAATGTTTTTATTTTTCAAATTAAGATTCAAACTCAAATTCCAACCTTTTTTGTTTTCGAAATGGTACAAACAGATAATGATATCCGTAATTTAAATCATGTTTTGAAGTTTTAAAACACTTGTAAACTTATGATTTAAGTGTAAATTACTATAATTAAAGAGTTTTGTAATCTAGTGATAGTAATTTTTTTACGAGAGATCATATATTCAAATATTGTCTTGGATATGTTTGTAAAAAAAAAAAAAAAAAAGTAAACTACCATAATTTCCAAGAATTCAATTACAACCATGCCCTCTGTCCCTTTTAGTTCGTTATATAATGGCTTATGTCACTTTGACAGGCAAGTTAGGAAATCACCTTTGCAATATGCAAAAATGGTACAAGGAATACCATTTTCTTGTGTCATTTTCTAACACATCAATCTCACAAGTTGTGATATAGTCAGAATATATGCTATATATATCCCACATCAATACGAACAAACATTTATTTATTTATTTTTGTGTGTAATTGGGATTTCTTTCAAACATATGTAGGTGCCAAAAACACACACACACATATATAAATTGATTAGGTACTTCATTATGCTTTAAGCTTAACAATTAGAAACCTTAAAATGATTGTTGTACTAATCATACTCCGGTTTTTCAATACTTCTTGCAAATATATTCGAAATTCTACAAAGTAGACACACATTTTTTTTAATAAGGAAAATCCACCTCCTATCTTTCGGTCCTTACCAATTTCCTACCATATCCTACCTTATTTTCAGATTTCATACAATTTCTCCTCCATTTCTGTCCATTTTCTCCCCGATTTGCCATAAAGCCATTAAACAAATACTGGCCGAATGGCTAAAAATTTCTCTCTTCAATGTTAATTCATTTAAAATATTAGTCCCTAAACTTTTAATTTCAAGTTTGATATTTTTTGGGTTTTTTTAGATTTATTTTACTTTATGATTTTTAGCTATCACTTCCTCCTTTAATTTTTTTTTTAATTCTTGATATTTTGAACTGAAATTTTCCACACATGTTAGAAAAAATTTATTGAAAAAAATTCTTTTTTCAAGGTCAGAAAATAAATTTTTTAATTTATGAACATTAAAAAATGTAGAAAATAACTCGAAATAATTTAATTTTTTTTTTGAAAGTTTTAAATAAATTTTATTCATAAAAATGTTTAGTGACAATTATTTTTGATATAAAATGATGAACTTAATCTTTAGAAATATAAAGTTTAAAAGAGATCAAATTTAAAATTATAAGTTTAGGGATTGATTTTTAAATTGACTAAAGTTGGAAGATGGTTTTACTCGTTTAACCAAAAGTCTTGACCTTTGGCTCATGACTTCATTCCGTCAACCCAGCAATTACATAGATTCTTTCCTTCGTCTCAAATACGCCCTCTCAAAAGCCGAGAATCTATCCCCTCTCTCTCCTTTTTATTTCTTTCTTTGTCTGCGGGGAAAGAAAGCTGACACAGATACATTAGTCTGGTCATAAAAAATAAAAGAGAGAAAAAAAAGGAGACAAACTCAGAATTCACACAGTGCCACCTAGCACACTCATCCAGCCATGCCTGACGATGAAGCTACTTGTGAAGATGATTCTCCCTCCGTTGGTGGTACGAATACTTATGTTGGGTCGTCATCGATTGTTGGGGAGGCAGAGGGTTCCGGTTCTGGAGTTCAGAAGACTGAGAAAGACCCAAGAAAAATGGCTAGAAAGTAATGTCATTTATTTTTGTTGTTCTTTTTGTTGTTGGTTTCTTGGTGGGTTTAGGTCGTTCTGTTGTTTCTTTTCTTTCCTTATTTATTTTTGTTGGTTTCTTGGCGTTTCTTGTTGGTTTTTGTAAGTTTTTGCGGTTGAAATGATCAAAGTTGGTTTTTTACTTGTTTGGTTGTTGAGAAAATGGGGGACAACGAAAGATGGCTTATCTTTCTTGTTTCAAAGAGAACTGGTTCTTTGTTGCAATTGCATTGGATTATTTGGGTCATTGATTTTTGGTTAAATTTTTGTGCTTGAAGTGATCGAAGTTGGTTACTTTCTGTTTCTGTTTGCTGGTGAGAAAATGGAGGGAAAAAAAATATGGTTTTTTTTTTTTAACATATTTGGTTTCTGCTGGATACTAAATGGTTACATTGTATTAATTTACAATTTTGTCAAGTGTGTGCGTGAGTGAAGTTATGACTGATAGAGTTCTCGTTCCTTCCCTTTTTCCTTTTTCCTTTTTTTTTCTTTTTTTCTTTCTGTTACTAGAGAGAAGAAACTGAGTAGTCAATTGAAAGAATCCCATTCCGTGATTTGATTATCTGTTTATTAATCTTTTTGAGCCTCTATACAAGGAGGGTTTTGCATTTTCAGCTGCAAACGCGGCTAATTTCTTTTTGTTCTTGTATTTTGGTTTTTGGAACTTTTAGGTATCAGTTGGAATTATGCAAGAAAGCTCTGGAGGAGAATATCATTGTGTATTTGGGGACAGGTTTTGGCAAGACTCACATTGCTGTTCTGCTTATATACGAAATGGGTCACTTGATAAGGCAACCTCAGAAGAGCGTGTGTGTCTTTCTTGCACCCACTGTCGCCCTCGTTCATCAGGTGAGGTTGAAGATTTTTTTTTCTTTGATCTTCTCTTTAATTTTTGGTGATGTTTACTTTCAAGATAAATATTGAAGCTTATATGTTACTGAGTGGTGTGCTATACAGTATTCATGGCCAATGTGCCTTGGAACTTGGCTTCAGTGGTAAAGAGGGCAGGGTTGGGTGGCTCTGTGGTTTGAAATCTGGTTTAACGAGAGTAATAAATGAAAAATGAAAGTGAAGAAATGCAGGTTTAGTGCTTGAGTCTCATGGTCTTTTATTTCTATCACTGCCGTAGTCTTTCGTCCTGTTAGTCCAGTTCTTCAATGGATCTAGCTCTTGTTCAAGTGGGCTTACAAGTAGATGAATTGAATCCAAACTAGGCAGTCACTATATTGTATTGTACTGAACCAATACTAGACTAACTCAAGAGTTAATACCTTTATAAGCTACATAACTTTTAAGTGGCAGGGGTGAAAAAAGAGGGTTTTTCATAAATGGAAAAGACATCGTGGGGTGTTCGTTATCACTTACAACGAAGCATAAAGCCATGTTTATGGATTTTACCTTTTCAGAAACAGCTCTGTGTCAGGTTCATCAAGAACATCAGTGAAACAAAAAGACTGCTATCACTGCCTCATTGGTGTTCTGAAGCTGTATAGAGCCATGGAATGAATTAGCAAGATGATTCTTGATATCCAGAAGATCTATACTGTTGGCCTGTTTTTTTTTTTTTACCTTTCATCCTTATGACCCTAAAAAATGCATTTTTCAACTGTGCTTCATTCAATTTGGTTCTGATGCCATCCAAATCAGTTCCATTTCGCAGAATTTGTAGAGACTTTATATAGTAATATGTAAATCATCTTTTTTCTTATGAATCTACACGGCCCTAGTTTTTCAGTTCTCAGGTACAAAATTTCTTAATGCTGAGAGTCCACTTCTGTAGATATAATTCAGTTGATGTACAATGAATAGCTATGTGAGCATATTCATGCAACGTTTTTGTTTTCTTTTTTGATGCTAAATTTTGCAACTCGTTTGAAATATCAACGCCAAGGCTTAGCAATTTCAGCCTACTGACTATGTGGTTTTAAATTGAATGGATATTGGCTGTGCAGCAAGCCAACGTCATAGAGGACTCTACTGATTTCAAGGTTGGGATCTACTGTGGAAACTCCAACCGATTGAAGAGCCACTCTAGTTGGGAAAAAGAGATTGAACAAAACGAGGTAGTTTTGCTAGTTAATGAATTTCATTACTAAGTTTATTCATTTTTTGCTGACCCAAAATTCCTTCCTTATATGTGATCTTATCTTTCATGCATCTGGTAATCTACAATTTATCTTCGAGTATCATGCTGCTTTCTGTGAGATCAGATTTTGATACACAACAAGAGTAATCTGAAGGAGACAACTCTAATTTGTCCTAAAGAAATTTAATGCACTTCATTGGCATTTGTTAAATTTTGATTTCTCTTATCTTGAGTAAGAAAAGATGCCAACCTTTTATATCTGTTACTTTACCTTTTCAGCCTCTTTGAAAAGATTTTATTTATTTCTTCAAAATGAAGTAGCAGTTTCTCATAGTGCAGTATCATCCTGGGATAATAGTTTTGTTTTGTTTTTATTTATTTATTTTTTTTTTCTGACTGATCTATGCAGGTTCTTGTCATGACACCTCAGATACTACTGCATAACTTAAGTCACAGCTTCATCAAGATGGACTTAATTGCTCTTTTGATATTTGATGAGTGTCATCATGCTCAAGTCAAAAGCAGTCATCCTTATGCAGAAATCATGAAAGTAAAAGGCTGCATGAATTTTGTTTATTCTTGTGAACACACACACACCCAAAGGCATGTGCACACAAATATGTCCTTTTGTTATTAGTTTGTTTAACTTGGTAACTTAATGATTGCATAGGTTTTCTACAAAAATAATGATGGAAAACTTCCCCGTATATTTGGCATGACTGCATCTCCAGTTGTGGGGAAAGGTACTGGATTCCTGGATTTTGTATCAAGATGTCTGGTTTCTTTTTCACATCAAAGTGTTGAGAATATTTAAGTACTTATGTTGTGGGGATGTGAACCTTACCCTGTACTGTATCACTGATTTAATTTTCGGCACAGAAAACTGAAACCGCAGAAGCATGTCTAGATGCTGATTTTACATGACAACCGTGTTTTGTCGCAGCATTTTATTTTTTTCATTGAATATAGGGAGTCTTCGTGTAGGCCTCCCTTGTCAAAAAGATTGGGTGACATACAACTATTTTTTTCCTTCTATTTCAATTTGATACTAAAGTAAAAAAGACAATTTTTTTTGCATTTTTATTTGTTGGACAGTTTAAAATACAAAGATATAAAGATAAAAGGTAAAACATAAAGTACTAAACTCCTTGGCAATTGAGAAGTGCACAACAGACAAAGAGCTTGTAGCCCAGTGGTAGTGGTCTCTTGCAATAAGACTAATTATTGCAGACTACTTGTAGCCCAGTGGTAGTGGTCACGAGTTAAAATCCTAGCAGACTACTTCAGCTAGGAGGCATGGGTGTGTGAGTTATGAAAAAAAAAAAAAAAAAATTAGGGTAAATTTTTCTGAGAAATATGAGACAAGCATGGGTTATGGATGCAACCACATTCAAATGGTAGCTTCCACATCCTTTTGCAGACCTTGATCACTGATACGATTCGTTAAATATATTCTTCTCAAATAGCCTAGATACAGGGAATGAGTAGCTTCCCTTGAAATCTTGTCTGTCAAATCCTGCGGTCCTCTAGACCTCACTCTGTCACCTCATAGTCTTATTAAGATTTTGCAGAAGATGAAAAGGAAAATGATTGGACATACAGAAGGTCCATGCATTTGAATTACCACTCCTAATGTGCACACCATGGATCATCTAGCGTTTATCTCATCCATATTTGCATATTTATCTTATAAATTTTTTCTAGCACAGGATTTGTCCTGATACTGCGTTTGCATCTATTGTGTTCGCTTTTGTCTTGACCATTTGTGTGATAGCCATGCATTGGAGTTAATGCCTTCGGTAGCTTGGAATGAATTTTTTCAGTTTCTATCTTTTCTTTCTCTGATAGCTGCTGTTCAGTCCAATAAATGTAATTTGCCAAATCAAGTCTAAATATGATGGGCATTAATTATATATGCGACAGATCAATTATATCAGAATGCGTAATACTAATCTTACTGAAAGATTTTTACTGAAATCATTTCTGGAAAAATTTCAACAGTTGGGTTTATGAGATCAGCTAATTCAATGTACGAGATAATTCGGATGTGATATAAGGGAGAATATTTGGCAAAATTAGCTCTATTCTATCATCATAGTCACTAAAGCAAGAGTTATATCCATTTTAAAGAAAACTTAATTACATCTTCATGTAAATGGAAATGCATATGTATAAATTTCAGTTGCGTTAATTTATTACCTTTTTTCTTTATTGAGTTAGAATTTTCTTAGTTGGAGTGCATCTTTAGTTTATCTTGTGGGAAATATATTCACGAAGTGGGATGTTATCTGTGCAACAGTTTCAAATGCTAGTTCTAAAATTTCCAGCGTCTCATCCTGAGAATTGGGATCAGTGGTAGTCTTCATTAGAAATTGAGTTTTACAGGAGGGGGCCTATACGCCTCATTGTGTGGCTTGATGTCACTTAAGGATGGAAGAAAAAAACGCAGCTGAACAAGATTTGTCAGGACTTCCTGAGATTCTACTGCGAAATGTTGAACTAGCAAACTACTTCACAATCTCCAATTTTCTCCCTAATTTTCGTCCAATTTTCTTTGCAAACAATACTCATCTTCTATTGTTTAACAATTTGCTTTTTGCTGTGTGGTTCAGGTATTCGATGTTAGCCACCTTCAAGTTATTGGTTTCTAAAATTCTTGTGTATGTGCTATCTTTCAGGTGCTTCTAGTCAAGAAAATTTATCAAAAAGCATCAATAGTCTTGAAAATTTACTTGATGCTAAGGTAGGCAATGAAAACTGCCTACTTTAAAATTATTTGGATAAGATATGCGCAATGCTTGTATTTCCTTTTCTTCAAAATAGCCATTTTCAAGGGCCTATTTACTATGTTTACTCTTTTTAAAGATGAACTCTGGCCTCATGAGAAATATTCATGCCTTGTATGTGGTAGATGTGTTCTTTAAACGACATGCTAGTTTTTTCTCTGGGCTTCTTCCTGGAGAAATGTTAGCAAGGTTCGCATATAATCATAAAATATCTGCAAGATATTCTGTTATTTTATGAGAGTTTTGCCACTGTATTGAGTGCATGTGCAGTTCTGTTTTTAGTCATATTCAGTTGTTTTTAAAGAAAATTTTATCCTGCTTCGGATGCTTTCCTACTGTAACATTACAATGTAAATCAGAAAATGAAAGATGGAAAGCATTTATAGCTCATCTATCTGTCATAAATTTTGTGGGTTTCTGTTGGAAGTTGCAGTCTCCTCATTAAAAGGGGGGAAAAAAAACATGCATCTTTAAACCTTTTTCTACCACTCCTTTTGATCTTGTGCTGCTTAGAGAGTGATTCAGGGAGTGTATACATATAGACACTTCCCTAGTTAAGCTTGCATGGGTCACAACTTTTTTCTGATATCTGAGCTTCAAATAGATTGATTTGCAACTTTCAAAGGCACATTTTGAATTTGTTGAAGCATGGTGACTTCATTGAGAGTTCTTCAAAGTTGCAGAGCATATGGGTTGTTAACCTTTGAACTATTAATAAAAGAAAAGACTCTTTGAAGATAAAGCTTGGCCCTAATTCATAAAGCTCATTGGATGACATCCTGGGTTATCAGACACGTTGAGTCCAAAAATCTGTATAAAATGCAGAGGATTGAGCTAGAAATAGTTGATTCAAATTTTATGTGTGCAAGACTGCAAGTCTGTGCTGAAGTTTGTTTCAATGGTGTCTGACCATTTTATGGCACTGACCTTGGCATTCCATGTAGATATCTACAGTTGATCTCACTGTGCTTTGCTTCAATTTTGTAGGTGTATTCAGTTGAAGACAAGGAAGAGTTGGAGCGCTTTGTAGCATCTCCTGTAATTAGAGTATATCTGTATGGTCCTGTTGCAAATGGCACTTCTAGCTCCTATGAGGCTTACTATAATACACTTGACGAGGTCAAGCGCCAGGTATGTTATAGGTAATTGTGTTTTTGCTAATGATAAATTTGTCTGACCCTGAAGCAAATTGCTTGCTATTTCTTTGCAATAAGAATAGTGCATAGTGGAAATTGGCAAGAAGACAGTTGGAAACCTTAGTCTTCAAAGTCTTCGAAGCACTAAAAAAGTGCTCATTAGGATGCATGAAAATATCATATTTTGTTTGGAGCATCTTGGCCTCTGGGGAGCATTTCAGGTAAGTTCTTGTAACATTCAACCAGTCAGTTTCCTTCCAAAGTTTAGCTAGCTCTATTCCTTTACTTCTTTTCCCTGCATGCTAATCTATACTTGTTCTATCTGAGATGTGCTGTAGTTGTGGTTTCTGTATGGTTTTTTTTTCCCATTTCTATAATATCAAAGTTCAACATAGTTATACGGCCACGATCTTTTGCATATTTGATATGGAATTTCCTATTCGAAATAGTTGTTTACATATAGTAATGCAAAATTTTCAAAATACAGCTAATAGCAACAAATTGCAATGAATCATAATCCATATACAGCTATATATTTGTTCTATCTGAGATGTGCTGTAGTCATAGTTTCTGTATGATTTTTTTTTTTTTTCATTTCTATAACATCAAAGTTCAACATAGTTATACGGCTATGATCTTTTGCATATTTGATGTGGAATTTCCCATTCAAAGTAGTTGCGTACATATATTAATGCAAAATTTTCAAAATACAGCTAATAGCAACAAATTGCAATGAAGCATAATCAAATTTTCATGTGCACACAGTGATTGCTCAGGTCATGAAAAAGGGGTGGATTTGGGGATAAGTTTTTTGAAGGGAGTTGGAGAATGTAATTTTTGGGAGATTATTACTGTTGGTATTGCAACTATTTGAGGGGGGACAAGAAAACACTATAGAAAAAAATCTCACTTATTGGGACATAGTTTTCAAATGAAACATTTATAATCCTTGAAAAGTGAGGTGCTTACATACTGAGACTCACCAACTGACTGATGATTTTGGGGCTTAGGAGAACTATGTTGGTTGTGATGCTTATTTCATCAATCTGATGTAACTTGTTTGTGTTAAGTAGATTTCAATATCTGCTGTTTGTCTGATCTTCAATGGGAAGTAATTGATAAGTTTTAATTTATCTCTTTTCTTTCTTCCCCTACAATTTTTCTGAAGGCTTGTCGTACTCTTTTGAGTGGTGATCACTCTGAGTGGAATGCATTGATAGAAGCAGAAGGGAATGTTGGTGACGACTCCGTGTGTGATAGATACCTAACTCAAGCTGCTAGCGTCTTTGCTGCTGATTGCACAAGAGGTATTTTAATGTTTGATTACTTTTTAACTGCTGCTGGTAATGTCTTCTACTCATCATGATCGTACATTGGAGTAACTGCTTGAAGTTGATGTCTTACTGACCTTCAATTGGCTTCTAGGTTACAGTGGATGGCCAATCATTAATGGTCCTAACATAGAATTGACAGTCGAGACTGTGAAGTGACATCATAAGTATTTCATATATTGTTTTTTTTTTTTCCAGTTTTATCTATAACAGATTTATAGATAATAAGAGTCAAATTGAGATTTTGCTCAAATAAAATAAAAAAAAAATGAAAATGAGAGTACGGGCCATCATTTTATTGTAGGAGTATTATGAGCAGGAAAACTCATGACCGAATCAACTTGGACCAATCAAGTGAACAATTGAATAGTTTGATTCTATTGGGTTTTGACCATAATAAAAATCAAAAACTCATCTAGACTCCTTTATCCTAATGCTAATCTTCCTTTCTGTTTTCACATGTCATATAATAATTGTTTATTTGAAAAATCAATGTTCTGTTGCATTTGTTGCTTTCTTATCAAAAGTTAAGCATAGGAGGTTAAAAAGCACAATCAAAGTAGAAATCTGGTCGTAATTATTGTCCAGTTAAAGAGCTGATTTCTTCAAAGGTTGAACACATTGGCGCTGATATTGTTTATGGAAACACATAAAATAGCCAGAAATACAACAATTTGTAAACTAGGTACATGTTGGGAAGTTTCATGTTTACAAATTTGATTTTTTCAATTGATGAATTGTCGATCGATTACTTTTTTCATAAAGATGTGCTTTAATTTAATATAGTTGTTAATATGTGGAAATTCACTTTCTTTCATATATTCTAATGATATATATACAAGATACATGGACCTATATATGGTAAATAGATCACACACACAGCTGTGTGTATATTCCTAATTTAAGAGGAAACTATGTAGGAAATATACAAATAGGAAGTAAGAAAGAATACAGCTCATTCCCGCTAACTAATATGGTCCTGGTTTGGAGGTTCAACACCTTAAGAAATGATGAATTTCTTACCATATATTAGTCTTAAATGCATATAGTTAGCACCTCTCTGATTTGTTGATTTGTCCAAGGCGGTATGAGCAGCCGTTCTAGTTGGAACCTGGGATCAGGCAGTTCAAAATGGCATTGTAAGTAAACGAGAACAGTGGTAATTGAATTGATATTGGTAAAGCTAGAAGGCCCAAAACATAAAGGAGCTAAATTATGGTGAAGTGGAGAGCTATTAAAGTTATCTTCCTCCTGCATTGTATTTCTTTTTCATGCTCTTCTAATAAGTTTTGTTTTCTATCTAAAAGGAAAAAAGGAACAATATGTGTAAAAACAGAGCAGAACTAGAACCACTTTGTGGTCCAAGCTTTCAAACTTGCCTATGTGATCCATCCTAATTTTATAGCAGTGGGAATATATAACCCTATTTTGTGCTTCTAATCATGCATAGTTATTTCCACTTGTTATTCAAAATTTTTAATTGGAAAATCTTTTATGCTTGGTGATCAAAGGAATTCATTATGAAACTCAAGCTCTACTTTTTCTGTCTTTATCATCATGTTGTTTCTTCTGTTCATGCAGATGGCATTGCATCCGATGTATCACAAGTGGAGGTTTTAAAGGAGCCCTTTTTTTCAAGAAAGCTTTTATGCCTAATTGGTATTCTTTCCAACTTCAGGTTTGTGATTATGTGTCTGTCTTTTTCAGAATTATGTGAAATATTGTACCAAGTGACATGTGTGCGTTATACTTGAATAATATGTGGATAATAGCTTTTGGCCTACGTATATCCTTCGATTAATTTGAGGGATAATTTGCAACCACAATTTCCTCAGCTGATCTCTCTCGTTTTTTTTTTTTTTTGTTAAAACAATTCCAGCAGCAGTAACTAAAAAGATTATGGACAATAATCAAACCAAAAAGGTCTTGGTGATGGCAAGACACTTATCTGATTCTGTTTCGTTTGTATTTGTTTTCTGTGTTTGAATGGAACTCAACTAAGCTTTACTCTTGGTGTTTCATGTTCAGAAATTGTTGACCTTTTATAAAATAAGTCGATCAACAATCAATACAAATGACCAGTTTTTTGAAAAAAAAATCATTTTCTTTTTCAGGTTACAACCAGATATGAAATGTATAGTTTTTGTCAATAGGATTGTTACTGCACGATCGCTATCACACATCCTACAAAATCTGAAGTTTTTAACATCTTGGAAGTGTGATTTTCTTGTTGGGGTTCACTCCGGACTGAAGAGTATGTCACGAAAGACTATGAATGTCATTCTTGAGAAGTTCCGGACTGGAAAGGTACGGCTTTATTACCTGTAATGTTTCAGCACGGGTCATTTCTGTGGTCATCTTACATGTTAGTTATGGGGTTGACTAGGAACATAAGAAGAAAATTAGTTCTAATTTGGGGGAAACCATATGATATGCTATACAAGTCTTTGGTTGCACATCTTACACGGTTATCTCATGATGGGTGAAGAAGTTTTTTTGTAAACTTATTCAAGGAGTGTCAGTAGTTGAACCGTGTGTGAAATTTAGGGTCTACTGCAATGGTTTGACCATGTCTTGTGCAGAATTTTATGGATGCATCAGTAAGGAAGAGTGGCTGGTTGTAAATGTGGGATTTAGGAAGGGGATTGTCTTGGAGTAAAAGTAATGTGAACTGAACTGGTAGAAATAAAGTTAGCATCACATGGCGAGAAAGTTTTGCTCCAAATAAAACTGACCTAAAGAAAAAGATCCATGTAAGCAATCTCTGGTAGTTTGGTATTGAGGCTCAGCTGAGTTGAGTCATATACATGTTTGTTATGAAAGGATTAGGACCCTTCTAGAAATACTATTTAACTCATTGGAATTGGGAAAAAAAAAAATCTCCTGGTCACCTAAATATTTTGATTTAAGATTCTGTGGCATTGGAACTCCAAAATTATGGGTTTTTGATTGTTAGTAGGAAATAGGGTCACAATGAGGGTAGTAGAGCTATTGATCTCTTTAGTTGTGCAGTAAAGAAACAGGAATAAGAGGGAAACAGAGCAGAGTATGTTAACATATTGAGTAAAAGAACAAGAAATTGCAGTGTGTTGGATATGCTTTGGTCAGTTGAGTTTTACAGTCGTTCGCCTACTACTCAGATATGAATCTCCTCAGCATGTGCTTTGTCATTATGGCATTTTGGTACTAACGTCTCCACAAAAAGCTGATTGGAGAAATTATTAAAGAAAAAAAGGAAAAAAAATCTAGGAAGCCTTTTATGACACACTCTGGGGTCCAATTGATTAAAGGTACCTGCTAGGAATAGTAGACTGGATGGACATCTAGCATAACTGTTCACATATTGAGTAGCCTTGGAGTGCCTTATCTATGTGATTAGAATTTGCGGTATGCCTTAACACTGACCCCCAATAGTTTTACACTGATTATTAATTCTCATGGATTTGTTGGTTTGGCAGTTGAACTTACTGCTTGCAACTAAAGTTGGTGAAGAAGGACTTGATATTCAGACGTGCTGTCTTGTGATACGATTTGATCTTCCAGAAACTGTTGCAAGCTTTATACAATCAAGGGGTCGTGCGCGAATGCCTCAATCTGAATATGCATTTTTGGTGGACAGGTGCTCTTCTAAAGCATATCTAGTATATTATAAGTCTTTCCATGTGCTTTTTTAGTTTTATTTTACTTCTATGTTGAATAATTGTCTTAATAATGCAGGAGAAACCAGAGGGAGCAAGATTTGATAGAGAAATTTAAAATAGATGAAGATCGGATGAACATTGAAATTCGTGTCCGAACATCAAGTGAGGCATTTGTTTGTGATGAGGAAAAGATATATAAAGTTGATGCAACTGGTGCTTCCATAGCTTCTGGATCAAGCATCTCATTACTGCATCAGTATTGTTCAAAACTCCCTCATGATGAGTATGCTCTTGTTCAAACTTTTGATTTGATAATATTCTATTGAAATATTTCCATTTGTTCTAACAGATATTATTTGGTATCATTGATACTTTTTTGCAGGTATTTCGAACCCAAACCAAATTTCTTTTATTTTGATGATTGTGAAGGAACTGTTTGCCACATAATCTTACCCTCTAATGCTCCCATACACCAAATAACCAGTACACCTCAATCATCAATGGAAGTTGCTAAAAAAGACGCTTGTCTGAAAGCCATTGAACAGTTGCATAAACTGGGTGCTTTGAGTGATTTTCTTTTGCCACAACAAGAAGACACTGATGAGATGGAGTTGGCGTCTTCTGATTCAGATAACAGTGAAGGTTGAATCTAACAACTCATTTTAAAAGCTTTTTTCTTCTTTTGCAATTTATTTTCAGTTTGTTGGATCAATAGTGTTTTTGTTTGTTGGCAGATAAGGGTTCACGAGGAGAACTACATGAGATGCTAGTTCCTGCTGTTCTGAAGGAATCATGGACTGAAATGGAAAGGCCTATCTACCTTAACTCTTACTATATTGAATTTTGTCCTGTTCCTGAAGACAGGATCTATAAGAAGTTTGGCCTTTTTCTGAAGGAACCACTCCCACTAGAAGCTGAGAGAATGAATCTTGATCTCCACCTGGCACGTGGTAGATCTGTAAAGACAAAGCTTGTACCATCCGGACTTTCAGAATTTAGTACAGATGAGGTAAACCACAATTTTGCTACTGAACATAATGCTTAACATAGTTCCAACTATTTGCTGGCTATTTACTGGTTTTATATGCACAGATCACATATGCAACAAACTTTCAAGAGATGTTCCTCAAGGCCATTCTTGATCGATCAGAATTTATTCATGAATTTGTTCCCTTGGGAGAGGATCCATTTTCTAAAATTTGCCAAACCTTCTACCTATTGCTTCCTGTAATTTTTAATGGCTCTGAAAGGAGAGTGACTGTAGACTGGAAGATTATCAGACGATGTTTATCATCTCCTGTTTTCAAGAATCCAGCTGATGTTGTGGACATGGGAACCCTTCCTTCAGGTGCTTGCTTGCAACTTGCTAATGGCTGGAGAAGTATCCGTGATGTTGAGAATAGTTTAGTGTACACTCCATACCAGCAAAGGTTTTACTTCATTACAAACATTGTTCCTGAAAAGAATGGTTACAGTCCATGCAAAGGTTCAACCACTCCGAGTCATGTGGATCACTTGACAACAACGTAGGTGGCTTGGTTTCTTGAAACTTTAATATCACCTCAGATGTTCAAACCATGATAGTTCCTCTTGAAATATTACCTGTTATATTGTCCTTACTACTTTCTTATGCTAAGGATAGTTTCTGTATCAATGTCAGGAAATTTGACGAATATTTTAAACTAAAAATTCCCTGGTATTAGGTTTGGCATTCATCTTAGATATCCAGAACAACCTCTTCTGCGTGCAAAGCAACTCTTTTGTTTGCGCAACTTGCTATGCAACCGAAAGAAAGAGGATTCAGGTAATTTTTTACTCATTTTTCTCCAGTTGTTTTTCGTTTTTGTTATGCATGTTGCCTGAAGCTGTATGGAATGCACAATTATCTATACACTTGGAGCTGTTATGCAAAGAATTTCTTCAAGAATTTTTTTTTTGTTTCCAACTTCTAATATAACTGCTTATCGAACCAATTAATAGAAAAGGAACAAAAACATATAGCTTTCATGAGAAAAATACAATAAGTTTGACAGTGCGCTAAACTTGTAGATGTAATATTGATCTCTTTCTTATACCCAGATTGAACATTATAGTTGAGTTAGGGGTTATCTACCTGTCCAGTGCAGTCTAAACGACAGGTGGCCAACTTACTGCATTGGTTAGGGCTCTGAAATTAGTGGAATGGAGAGGATTTAAAGGAAAGTAAGATGCTTCTAGAAGCATCTAGTATGCATCCACATTCAGAAGGAAACTGGCATAAACTAGTGATTTTAGTAACCAAATTCGGTCTACAAATGTGGCACACTTTGTCAGATTAAATTGAAGTATGATAAACAAAGAAAAGTTATGAAAGAAAATATGTTGTCATGCACAACATGAAGAACTCGGGCATTAACAAATACAGTTTCATTTTTTTTTTTTTTTTTTGGGGGGGGGGGGGGGGGGTCATTTACTTATTCATCATAGAAAAAATAAAAAATAATTTTAGTGTTCTTCAAAAGCATAGGTGGATAATGGACTGAAAGTGCTCAATATTGTTGGTCTAAGTAGTAGTTGCCATTTTGATGTGTCAGTGAATGAATCAATAACTGTCTTAATAATATGCCAAGGATCAAAATGGCAGGCTAATTCAACTGTGCTTGTCTAAAGAGAGACAAAGCTTCATGGTCAACTGGTATGGACAAGTTATAAACTTTTTCACAGTTGTTCCATTAAATTAAGAATGTAACTAAGACCATGCATGAGTTGAAGAATGATGTCTTATTAGTAGTTGGCTGAGGAACTATACTATGTCCAAGGAACTTTTCTTTGGTATAAGTTCTCGTAGTTCCCCTCTCACCTTTTCTTTTGGTAAGAAACGTGCATGGGATCTATCAAGCCAAGTCCACCTCTCTAATCATTTGAGCCAATGCCCATAGGCATCTGCCTTGCACTATTTTAGTTTCCTGTCTTTCATTGATCTCTCCTCCTCTGGATGCTCTTTACCATTTTTTTACTGATATTTTCTTGCTTCTCTCTCTTTGTTTGCTTTTTCTTATAAATTAGTTTGTGTCTAAAACAGAATTGCAAGAGCTGGATGAGCACTTTGTTGATTTGGCTCCTGAGCTTTGCGAGTTGAAGATAATAGGATTCTCTAAAGATTTTGGTAGTTCTATTTCTCTACTGCCATCAATTATGCATCGCTTGGAAAACTTGCTTGTAGCCATTGAATTGAAATGCATATTGTCTGCTTCATTCTCTGAAGGAGCTAAAGTTACTGCCGATAGAGTAAGCCCTCCTTCCATAAAATAATTGAAGTATTGGTTTTAATAAGCAGTTGCCTATCTTATCTGAAAAAAAAAAAAAAAAAAAGATAAGCAATGCATTGCGCTAAGTTGGGTAATTGTGCTAGTAGAATTCTGCTGGCATTTTGCTAAGTTATCCAAATATGGGTTAACTGCCTTTCCCACTAACATCTGCTAATTGATTTATAGGTTTTAGAAGCTCTCACCACAGAGAAGTGTCAGGAGCGTCTTTCTCTTGAAAGATTCGAAACACTTGGTGATGCTTTCCTCAAATTTGTTGTCGGTCGCCATTATTTTCTTTTGCATGATACCCTTGATGAGGGGGGCTAACTAGGAAACGTTCAAATGCTGTAAACAATTCCAATTTGTTCAGGCTAGCAAGCAGGAACAATTTACAGGTATGATTATATTTTCAAAAATGATCTGGATGATTAGTCATCTATGATCTTTCATCTCTCAAATAGTTACCTTATTGTTTTTTTTTTTTTTTACTTGAGAGATTACCTGAAAAAAAAAATGCAAAAGATTAGTTCTCATATCTACCATTTAGAAGTTGTTGGATTGCCCTCCAAAAAGGCTGAAAGGGTAAAATTTGATGTTAACTATTGAGAATTGCAGGCAAGTGACAATATCCTAGACAATTTACAGCATGGACGTGAAAAGTTGTCCGGAAAGGAGTCTTGTTTGCTTTTCTTCTACTCTCTTCAGTGTGTTTGATGCTCTGGCCAATTCTCTTGATATTGAAAAGTTAGGAAAATATGTTTCCATGGACCAACAGTTCATATTCAGTATTGCCACACAGAACCATTTCTGCAAAGGAAACTCATACTCTGATATTGAATCATTAATTTTTCTTTTGTTTCAACATCTAAGTGATATGTTTCACCCCTTTTTAGGTATATATACGTGATCAACCATTTGATCCCTGCCAATTTTTTGCTTTGGGTCGTCCTTGCCCTAGAATTTGCACCAAGGAATCAGAAAGAACCATTCATTCTCAATGTGAAAGCCATGTGACTGGTCAAGCAAAGGGTAGTGAAGTCAGATGCAGCAAAGGTCACCATTGGTTACATAAGAAAACAGTTTCTGATGTGGTTGAAGCTCTCATAGGAGCATTTCTAGTTGACAGTGGCTTCAAAGCTGCAATTGCATTTCTTAGATGGATAGGTATTGATGTGAAATTTGATGATTCACAAGTTATCAATGTTTGCCAAGCAAGCAGCTCCTATGAAACACTCGCTCCTTCCATGGACATTGCTGCCCTTGAAAATTTGTTGGGGCATCAGTTCCTATATAAAGGTCTGCTTCTACAGGCATTTGTGCATCCTTCTTCCCACAAGAATGGAGGAGGCTGTTATCAGGTACGCAGTCCTCTTATTTTCAATTGTGTAACTAGGTCTTATTTCGATTAACTGTCTAGAAATGGTCCTCTGTCCTTTGCAATTCTTTCCAAACTAACTAATTTGGAGAATTTGATTCTGATACTGCAATTTGCTATTACTTTGATGTTTCCACCAGAGATTGGAGTTTCTTGGAGATGCTGTCTTGGATTACTTGATCACATCATATCTATTTTCAGTTTATCCTAAAATGAAACCGGGTCACTTGACAGATCTGAGATCAGTGTTGGTGAACAACAGGGCCTTTGCCGGTGTTGCAGTTTATCGATCTTTCCACAATTATCTTATATGTGATTCTGATGCCCTTTCTGCTGCCATAAAAAAATTTGTGGACTTTGTTAGAACACCTGAATCAGAAAAGCGTCTGCTGGAAGGACCAAAATGCCCAAAGGTAAACATTATTTACTTTACTGGGCTAGTGCCCACTCTACTTTCTGGGGTTTCCAGTTTTCTCATTTTCTTTATTCAGTTAAGTCAAATTGGGACTTTTGTTGCAAAAAGCACGGTGTGGCTTTTAAATGCTTTGTGTCATGCATCATCAACAAGATAAGAGGCCTTAGTAACACATCAGATGCAAGCGACCACTGATGGAACTTCTTCCCTTCAAATTTTTTTCCCAGTCACCCAAGCAAAACAAATGCACCCCCCCACCCCACCCCCCCCAAAAAAAAAAAAAATCACTGCAGAAAACATTCAAATCTCCAAAAACTGATGAAAAAAAAATATCATCATAAGAAGATAAAGGCACTGGTATTTTTTTTTTTTAACCTGAGTTCTGGTTAGATTGGATTCAAGAAAACCTTTGCTTGCTGTCTGGCTAGTTTTGCTGCTCTCTGGTTGGGCTAGGAAATCAACTCTTCTAAGAAAGTTGTTGAACACCATGGATTCAGGCTTCTAGATATGAGGGATTGAAGATTCTTAGAGAGATCAAAGTGGTAGTGGTCTCTTGCAACAAGGGGTCGCGGATTCAAATCCGAGTAGAGTAGAGCCTTGGGTGTGTGAGTAAAAAATAATTAAAAAAAAAAAGATTCTTAGAGAGAGGTCCTGGTGATGGAAAACGAGTTTTTTTCTCTTGTACTGCTGTGCTTTTGGTTCTTTGGCTTTGCAGCTTTCAAATGGCTTTTGTGGTGGTTGTATAATTGGAATAGGTTTCATGTTTTCTAGCAGCCTGCAAGGTAGTGCTTTGCCCTTGCATGCTTACCCTACTCTGCTCCACATTGAGCTACTGGGATCCAATGACAAGATTTTGGTTGTTATTTTAGTCATCATGTTACGATTATTATGTAATGGTAATCTTGGCAAAAACATTTGAATATTGAGGTTTGGTATAATTTGATGGAAGATTCCTGAAGTTAGGTATATTAGTGGTGAGTAGTAAGAGCAGCTAGAGTTTTGTTAATACTGCATGTTCAATAAATGTGAAATGGATTTCATTTTACAATTCAAATGGAATTTTGAAATTTGTATAATCTTGTTATCAATACAGGTTCTTGGTGATTTGATAGAGTCTTCTGTGGGTGCCATTCTTCTTGACACGGGATTTGATTTGAACTATATCTGGAAGATAATGCTATCTTTCTTGGATCCAATCACAAGCTTTTCCAATTTGCAGATAAATCCTGTGAGGGAATTAAAAGAACTTTGCCAGTCTCATAATTGGGATTTGGAGGTTCCTGCATCAAAGAAGGGCAGGACTTTTTCAGTTGATGTAAAACTGAGTGGTAAAGGCATGTACTTATCTGCTTCTGCAAGCAACTCAAATCAAAAAGAGGCTATTAGAATGGCTTCAGAACAAATATTTGAGAGACTGAAGGTAAAACCTGTATACTTGTGGATCTCTTTCACCTGCCATTGTCAACTTGTGAAACTAGCATTGTTTACTCTGAGATTATTAACTGAATTGGATACTCTTAGTTGTAATCTTTCTTGAAGAACAAGTTCCTAGCACTTGGAGTCCAACTCCCATAAAGTAAAATTATGTTTTTCCATTGCGTCAATTCTTTTTTTTTAAAAAAAAAAAAGCTGCCAAGAATATTTAAACTAAGGAATATTTGGAAAATGAGGTGTTGGGAGGCGGGAAGGGATACAATGGACAACGGAAGAACTCATTTTTAACTCATGTTTGCATTGAAATATGCATGTTTGCTGTATAAATGAGCCTTTTGTTTTGCATTTGTATTCTAACTTGGGGTTTTTCCCATAAATATTGCTTATGAGCATTTAGCTCAGTAGTACTTGCAATTATAACTCATGTAAAGATAAGAGGCTTCAAATTAATGAACTATGCACTAGACAAGCTATTAGAGAATAATATAAAACCAGATTCTGGGGCCTCACCTAACACCTTATGCTTTTGGGTTGATTTGGTTTTTTGACACATGCTCGCTTTGCTTTTGAAATCACCAGAGATCAAGGAATCGAGCCCTGTAATTGTAATACAATGGTATAGATAGAGCTAAGAAAATTTGATGTGTAATTTCTTAAACTAAGAAACAAGTTAGTGCTATTTACACAGACAGTGCACACATGATTTGATCACTGCTTTTAATTGAACCGTTACTATGCTTCACCTGCTACCTATGCCACTATGCACAAAGGGGTTATTTGACCTTTTGACCTCCTTAATTTTTCCTATATCCAGCTTCATTTCCTGAAGGTGATTACCTCTGATATGCAGGATCAAGGTCTCATACCAAGGACTAACTCTTTGGAGGAGGTTTTAAGGAATAGTCAGAAGATGGAAGCCAAATTGATAGGATATGATGAGACCCCCATAGATCTTATTGCTACTAATTTCCCTGGAGTTGAAAGCTTGAAGATCCAGGAACCTTTGGACAGCAGCTGCGGCTCTGAAGTGAGAGATTCTTGTTCACCCTGTGTCAAAGCTGTTAATGCACGGTCTCCATCTCTGTTAGATTTCACTGGAAGGCAGCCCAGTGAGACTACTTCAGATCTTAGATGCGACAAAAATGTGCATATCACAGGTTTGTCATGCTTATCATGCTTGCAGGATGCCAAGAAGTAAAGAGATTCTGACATTTGCAATTGTTTTTCAGGTAAATTGGACAACGGAACAGCCAGATCTCGTTTGCACGAAATCTGCACAGATAATTGTTGGAAACCCCCTTTGTTTGAATGCTGCACTGAAGAAGGACCAAGTCACATAAAGTCGTAAGTCTCCGATCTTTCTTTTGGTGAATGTTGACCGATATGTATTGAAAAATGTTTGCACAGAGAACTTTAATGTCATTCAATAATTAGAGTTGTAGGTTTAAAGATTGAGTTTTTCTTCAACTTAGTACCTATTAGGCTACATACATTTCGTAAATGAAAATTCATTAGGGGATTTTTCCGCATTCAGTTGAATGAAACAGTTTGTGCATGACGTGAGATGATTGAGGTTTAGTTTGAATTGCCCTTCACGAACCAGTGGTACCCAGAATTGGGAAATTCTCATGGACTGTTTTTGAGTTACGAAGAGAATCTCATGAAATGCTCCTCCCCATGGAATCTCACAGTTATGTGACAAACTTCACCCCCACCGCACTCTCTTCTTCTCCCCCTTCTCCTGCTGTTTCACTGTTTGTTGGCAGCAAGATATCTATTATGGAAATTCATCAGTCCCGTATGGAGTAAATTATAAATTAGTCCCTCTAGTTTCAAGAAATGAATTAATTAGTCCCTTTGTTTCAAAAACTAATTATTTAGTTCCTATATTTTTAAAGTTTTTTGTAACTAAATCATTTTCATTCTTTTTTTTTTTTAAAGAAATAGAGAAAGTAAAAAATAAGTATTAATAATTAGTTTTTGAAACAAGGGGGGCTAATTAATTTGTTTCTCGAAAATAGAGGGTCTACTTTATTATTCAGTCATCCCGTAGGTCATGTCACGTAGGTTGCTGTTCATTTTTATAAGCAGTGCCTTCTTCTTCTTCTTCTTTTTTCCCTAAATTAATTGGTGTTCGTCTTACATGCTGAATTCATACATTTGCAGCTTCACTTACAAGGTTGTTGTGGAAATAGAAGAATCACCAGATATGAATTTTGAATGTGTCGGATCTCCCCAGATGAAAAAGAAAGCTGCAGCAGAGGATGCAGCAGCAGGGGCACTTTGGTACTTGAAACATAAAGGCTACTAGTTTTAAATTGAAATGACCTGAGGATTGAATTGCGTAACTTAAAGATTAGAATAATCTTTCCTTAGAGATCAATTTTGTCGTCGCCGATGAGATCATTGCAGGAAACTGACAGTCAAAAAGAACGGAGAGATGCAATACATGTACATAGAATCTGAATATTTCAAGTGTAGTATAGACTGATGCTGCAGCTTTGACTGATCCAGTGGAAGTTATTCTAAGAGTGTAAACTAATGCTGCAACTTTGGTGATCCAGTGGAAGTCATCAGTGATAATGTGAAACCAATAGGGTTTCTACTTGGCGCTGTGTTGTGTATACAGAAAGGGATATCCTCCCCCTCCCCCAAAAGACAAGTGATAAGGGATATCCTTCTTGTATCAGAAAACAAATAAAAATGATCTCTTGCTGAATCCTGTATGTGTATTGAAACCGAGAAGTAAAGTTCCATCTTGGAATGCCTAAATGAAAAGAGAGTGGGAAATCAAAGATGCTCTTTACATTCCCTTTTGTGTTTGGTTCTATGGTTTGATATTATTTTATGCATTGCTTATGAACTTTCTACCTAATTGCCAAGAATTATAACCAAATTGTTTTAGGTAACTAATAATGTCGGTGATTAAGGAGGAATTATACGATTCTAACAATTTTTATTTTTTCTCAATCTTTAATTAAGATGGGGGAAAATCGTTTGATTGAAAGTCATTTTCAATCACTAAACAAAGATTTAAAAGTTTTGATTTTTTTTCTCATTTTGTTTGGTCAATAACTACAAGAGTAATGAATTCCAACTAATTATTGGATTTGATTCATTGAGAAGAATTGCATTACAATTTAATTTTTAATCGAAAATATAATATATATGAATAGTTTATCGTCAAGATATTTTAATAGTTAAATTTAAATAAAAAAGAGAATGTATTTGTTTTTGAAAATTGAAAAATAAAATTTTTCATCCATTTAATAATTGACTTAATAATTTTACTTTGAAAGATAGAAATAAAATCTTACGCTATTTTCTAGCCATGATAAAAATTAAACAAAATCAAACACTAACGAACGACATGTCATCTGAAGATTCAGAGCCCGTCCTAAGCACATCCACCCGCTACAAGTGCCCTTTTTGTACAGGCAACAAGTCGTCTAACAACAGAGCGACACGTCACCAAACCCCCATTAATCAGAGAACACACGTGCGAGAAGCACGTGTCACCCCAATTTCCCGCCAAATCTTCGCGCCAAAACATCCCCTAATAAGTTTCCACAAATTAACCTTTACCCTCCGCTTTCCCTTCTCACATGCACACAGAAAACAAAAGAGTTTTTCAGTTAGAGAGAAATCAAGAAGATGTCAGGGTGGGACGAAGGAGCGGTGTACTACAGTGACCAGGCCCAATTCCCAGAATCCGGATCCGATGCGGCGGCCGCAACTCCAAGTCGCTACACAATCCTCCGTAAATTCAAGGAATTCATTCGAAACTTCGAGACTGAGAAAAATGTTTTTCCCTACCGTGAAAGTCTGGTTAATAATCCCAAATCACTCCTTGTCCACCTGGAAGACCTCCTTGCTTTTGATGCCGAGCTTCCTTCCCTTCTCCGGTCCTCTCCCTCCGATCACTTGCCCTTGGTACGCGCATTTATGAATTAAATTTGTTGCAGCGTGGCTAACACGCGCTGTTGGTCTTTGCATACCTAAGTGAGATCTAAGTGAGTGTGAATTTGTGTGACTAATTTGATTTTGTGGATGTTTTGTTTGTTTGTGTGTAGTTTGAGACGGCGGCAGCGGAGGTGTTGCAGAGTCTGAGGTTGAAGGAGCAAGCAGAGAGTGGGGAAATGAAGGAGCCGGAGACGAGAGAAGTGCAGATTTTGTTGAGTTCTAAGGAGGATCCTGTTTCAATGCGAATGCTTGGGGTTAGTAGGTTTTAATTTTTATTTTATTTTAATTTTTGGGTTTTGGCGAGTGATTGTTTTGCCTGCAGTTAAAAATTTTTTGGATTTTTTTTATAATGAAAGATGAGGAAATTGTTTTGGGATCTGCTATGTCGTGTTTTTAATTCTCAAAATGTTAAACAGTTTAGCTCCTTTTTGGTTAATTTGTTGCGCTCTTGATTAAATCAGGGGCTTTTGTTTTCCTGGTCATTATGAGTTTGATATTAAAAACTTTGGATTTGGAAACTTATGTATGATTTACAAGCAGTTTAATTAAGGGTTTTTCATTTATTAGCTAACACTTGTGGAAGAACATTAGCTTGGAAAGTGTTTGTTTAGTTCTTGTTTTAATTCATTTTTTGTGTATAGGCTCAATATATATCAAAGCTGATTAAGATAGGTGGGATTACTATATCTGCTTCAAGGGTTAAGGCAAAGGCAACTTATGTCAGTCTAGTGTGTAAGAATTGTCAGAGCACAAAGGAAGTTCCATGTCGACCGGGCCTTGGTGGGGCAATTGTGCCTCGTTCATGTGACCATGTTCCTCAGGTTTATTTGAAATCCTTTGTTGTAAATCCCCGAGTTTGTTGGTTTGGGACTCTAAATTTCTTGATTTTTATGGGATTTTGTGCAGCCTGGAGAAGAACCATGCCCCATTGATCCTTGGATTGTGGTTCCTGATAAGAGCAAGTATGTTGATCAGCAAACCTTGAAATTGCAAGAGAATCCCGAGGTAACAATGTTGATTTGAATCAACTGAATGGTGGTGTTGAGTTGAGCAACTTTTTTTTATTAATTGTTTTTTGTTCATGTCATATTATAGGATGTCCCTACTGGAGAGCTTCCAAGAAACATGCTTCTCTCAGTGGATCGGCATCTTGTTCAAAGAATTGTACCTGGCACGCGATTGACCATCATAGGGATTTATAGTATTTTTCAAGCAGCCAATTCATCAACCTCGTAAGAATGTTATACTTCATATGAATGTTATGAATCTCGATGTTTGTGCATACTGTTTACTGGTAATTGATTTGTTGTTAATGGTTCAACAATGTGCAGCCATAGAGGAGCAGTTGCAATTAGACAACCTTATATAAGGGTAGTTGGAATAGAAGAAGTAAACGAGGCCAGTTCTCGAGGTCATGCAGCTTTCACCATAGAAGAGGTAGAATTAGAGATCACCAGTTAAAACTGTTTTAACAACTCTCTGCACCCACTTTTTTATATGTTCATGACAGATTACAGCAATACTTTTTTTCATGCATGACTGGTTTCTATAGACATGTTTTTTTTAACTTGATTAGAGTCTCAATGCATGACGGCAGTTTTTATCTTCTGCTACTTATTTGTGAGAAGAGGTGGGAAGTTAAATTACGTAGAAAATTTTCTATTACTAGGGCATGCTCCTCTTTTTCTTTTTTCTGGCTTAAACTCTATGCTGCTGTGCTGCAACCAATTTCCTTGCCTCTTGCTTGTGTTTTGGGCACTGGTCATTGTCGGACAAGTGACTCCATGTTCCATGTGCAGGTAGAAGAATTCAAAAAATTTGCCTCGAGAACAGATACATATGAAGTCATATGCTCCAAGATTGCTCCCTCTATATTTGGAGAAGAGAACGTGAAGAAAGCTGTGGCTTGTCTTTTATTTGGAGGATCAAGGAAGGTACATAGTTTGAACCTCAATCATTTGATAGTATGTTGTTTGTTGATGTTTGAACAATTGCTTCATAAGTGCAGAATTTGCCAGATGGGGTGAAGTTGAGAGGTGATATCAATGTGTTGCTTTTAGGTGACCCATCTACTGCTAAATCACAGGTTAGTTCTTTATTTGGTTGTTAGTTTATGTGTTGAGAGCTGTTTAGAAGTTATAGGTGTGGTGTTGTGGTCTCTTTTATTCATCTTTCTGCTGAAAGATTTCTCCAGTCTCCACTTTTTTTTTTTTTTTTATTTGTCCATTCATGTTCTGTGTTTGTGAGCTTACATGCATGCATGTGTGTTTGTGTGTGTGAATTGAGGTTCTTATTTAGAATTTCCTTGCTTGTAAAGTTTCTCAAGTTTGTTGAGAAGACTGCTCCTGTAGCTGTATATACTTCCGGAAAAGGCTCATCAGCTGCTGGTCTTACAGCTTCCGTTGTACGAGATAACAGCACAGTAAGTTCTTCATCTTGTTTGGCATGTATAGACATGGCTTTTTTTCGTTCATTGCCTTAGAAGTAGTTTCTTTTTTAGTTGGTCAATATTCTTCTTTCTCATCACTATGAAATTCTTCTAACTAAGATGACAAATATGTGGATTTCAGCGTGAATTTTATCTAGAAGGAGGAGCCATGGTTTTAGCTGATGGAGGTGTTGTCTGTATAGATGAGTTTGACAAAATGAGGCCAGAGGATAGGTAATTGAACTCAAAGTAGATAATGCTGCACCTTTCCACTTGTGGTTCTTAGGGATTCTTAAGACTTTGTGTCTGTGTGGCTCAGGGTGGCTATTCATGAAGCCATGGAGCAGCAAACAATATCCATTGCAAAAGCAGGGATAACAACTGTTCTCAATTCTAGGACATCAGTGCTTGCTGCTGCCAACCCTCCCTCAGGTCGTTATGATGATCTCAAGGTGAGTAGCTATATTTTCTGGTTTGCCAATCTCTTACAGCAAAAATTTGATGTCATAAGCTAATAATACTATTGCTTTCCTTCCAGACTGCACAGGAGAATATCGATTTACAGACAACCATTCTTTCTAGATTTGATTTAATCTTCATCGTGAAGGATAAAAGAGACTATGGTCGAGATAAGGTAATTTGCATACTCATCTGAAGCGTTTTCACTTGAGTTGATATTTGGCCCTGCAAGGAAATTAAATGATTCCATTATGTTTCTTGATGGATTTGAAGGCACAAGACCATAAAATCATATAATTATATATGCGTTTGTTTATATTGAAAACTAAATATGATTGTTTCTCACCTTCTATCAAAAAGCTCATTTTGATGAATTAAAAACAGCTAATGTATTACATGCATTCTTGTTGATTCTAAATTCATCTGAGTTCATGTAGTTGTTGAACCAAAAATCTTCTGTTACAGATTATAGCTAGCCATATCATAAAGGTCCATGCATCTGCTGATAAAACCT